AAAAACAGGCCATATGGAAAAACTGTTCCACCTTCCAGACACGGAAAAGTGCGGAAACTGGCTCTGAGGGCAGGGAGGGCTGGAAGGCCCCCGCTGTACGTGCCGAGATTGAAACTCCCAGGCCCCAAACCCCTCCTCGCCCACGCCAGGGCCGCCGCGTCCCTCTGCAGCTCGAAAGCCAGACGGGGCCACCGGCAGCACCCACAACAGGAACGGCCAAACAAACAGCTCCGGACGTTATTCCCCACGCACGCCTTCTGCAACAGCTCCCACGCCGCCGAGGCCGCCGGCCTCTCTCCCCGTGATGTTTGAGTGAGCAGAGGGCGCAGCTTAAATCCGAACAACATCAAACGGCTCCTTCGCACGCCCAGCGCAGGAGAGCGAGCGAGAGAGCGGCTGACGCAGGGGCGCCAAGCAGGATCACAAGACCCATCCACGCGGGCTGTCAGGCCGGGGCAGAGGAACACACATACACAACAGGGGGCAATTCGCTTGGAAGATGGTTAATTGAGGGGACGTTTATTAAGCAGGCCAGCCTAACTGAATCACACGCATTCAGTAAAAGCACAGGGAGCCATCGCCGCCCCGGTATCACACCCTGCAGACCTGGAGCAGAGAGCTGAGGCCAGGCTTTCCAAAGCCGAGGGAGGCGGTTAGGGAGGAGCCCCCGCTGGCACGAACCCCCAGCCCCCCCCCCAGCCAGAGCAGACACACAGGCCAGCCTGTTCAGGCACAGACGGTCCTTTCTGAGCAGGTAACAGTACAGCCAGTGTGGCCAGCTAACTGCACACGAGGAGACTGCGGCACGCCCAGCGCCGACACCCGCGGACTCCCCCAGCACGCTACCCGGGGCGGGTCTGCCTGCACATCGCCCAGGGGCCGACTGAGCCAGCGTCGCCACGGGGGAGCAGGTGAAGAGGGTGTTGGAGACCCTTCTGCAACACAGCCCCCCCATAACTCCCAGTCCCTCCGCTGTCCCGGCACCCTGCCTGACTCCCCAGCCAGCCCAGCACGAGCCACGCTGACCTGCTTTCAACTGCTTAAAGACACAGCTCCCCGGGTTCCTCATCATCATCAGCACAGCACAGCACTGCACGCACAGAACTTGAATAATTTAAAACCCACGATCCATACAAAAAACACGCTACTCCTTCCTCTTTTCCGAGCCTTTTAATTAAAATATTAATGACGACCTCATTACTGCGCAGCTCGCTGCTCGTTTGCTGCTCTCCCTGCTGGCACTCCGGACAGCCCATGCCATTACAGTGGGTACCGCACTGACGCCCGGGTCTTCGGATGCCATCGGCAGCAAAAGCTGTGTATCAGCAGGCTCTCCAACCCCACCTCCAGCACTTCCAGAGACCACCTCGCCCAGCGCCGTCATTCCATCGATCGGTTAGCTCACTGGGGTGAGGCAGAATGACTGGCGTTAACACACAAGACCGGGCATCCCTGATCAAATGAAAAGAAAGCGATGTGCTTGGCGAGAAAGAAATGAAGTAAAGGGACTGTTCCATGCTTTCAGATTTGCTATGCTGGACCTCAACTGCGTGCACAACATTTATTATTCAAATAGTGGTACTCGCTCCACTGCACACTGGAATTCCCTGACAACACGTAAACTCTCCAGCACTCCAATCGTGATTAATCTGTAATCTGGGCCCACACAACCCAACCAGTGGTAGCGATGGGATCAGGAAGCTCGGTTCAGGATGGCACAGCCCCCACTGGCTCCACCCAGCTCCCCCTGTTCTTCCATGGGCACTCCAGGGAGCGAGCCCTGAGCAGGGCACCCCTCGCTGGTCAAGCTCCTTCAAGCCCGCACTTCTGGACACGGGTGCCCTCCTCTCTCTTGCGGAGCTGTCAAAACACGCCCACCTCCAGCTCAGCCCAACGAACGCCTTCACAAGCTGCATCAGCCACCACGCAGATGCACATCTCCATGACTGCATTCTTATGGGACAGATTTAGCACACTGGAAAAAAAAACTCTTCCCACTCTGCGGGATACCACGACTGAGCAGCTTTATGGGCCATGCGGACTTGTGGATATCAAAGTGGTGCATTATTACCGATGACAACCTGGCCTTTCATTCATGACAACACATGTATTATTGTTGGGGAAGGTGAACACAGTGACTGTGCGCAGTGTGCAGAGCCTGGCCACATGCTCAATGGCAGCTCTGTTCAGTGAAACCCAAACCTTACCGCCTTTCTGAGAGCATTAAGAAATGAAGAGACCCGCCCAGGAAAACCCTTCTGAAGTGTTTTTTTTTTTTTAATCTCACACATAAAGGGGTAAAAAGTTCCAGGTATTGTTCCAGCTCTTTAAGGTCCATCGGTACTTTCAGATGTATGTTCAAATGCCTTGACAGAAAACGTGGGTAAATGGTTTTATGATTATAGTCAACCCTCTTCATCGAGGTGACATTTAAACAATCCAGCAAACTTGCTTGTCGGAGCTCCTCTCAGCCTGTGGAGAGGTTTGTGGAGGAGGCGACTGGAGCAGCCTGGTCCTGTGACGCGAGAGCCTGGCGGTCAGTCGGTCAGCAGGTCTCTCCTTGGCGAACGGAGCTGAGCACTGTGCACAAACCTGCGCACCGGGCTCCCTCTCTGCGGCACAGCGGGGAGAGGGGGGAGGAGACTCAGTTTAGCTGGCAGCTCAGTGTGCGATGTCCTGTCACACAGCATGAGGAAGACAGAGTGAGCCTGCCCCACATTCATGTTGTACGTGATGTATGCAGACGCCCAGTGATATGTTTGTACTGTACATGCTGTGTTTATTGTATCTGCTTTGGCAACACTAACTCATCAGTCATGCCAATACAGCTCTCTGACTCTGAATGAGGCCAGTACAAGCCCCACTGCTGTGTGGGCTCTCCCCCCAGGGCGGACCCACAGAGGCCTTCCCAGCAGTCACTCCTCACGATCCCCAGGGCTGGCTCAACGGTTTCCATTTCTCAACAGGGAAGGACACCTCCGGTGCCCCTCCTCGTTTTCTCTAGGTTTTCACCAAAGACAAAGACATGCCTGTTCTCAGTCAACAATGGCAGAGGTGAAACTCCGTAGAAATTAAAGTCCTCCCCTCTCCAGCTCGGTCAGGCTCAGAGGCCAGACCCTGTAAAAGGCTATGCACAGTTAGGCTGTTACTCCAGAATCATCCTACTTCACAGCCTTGATGGCAAATGTTCTTCACAAAACACAGCACAACTGTCTGCAATTTGTCCACGCCCAGAGCTGTAACCATCAGCTCTTCCACGTGATCGGCTATGTCAGGCTCTGTGAGCCGCACAAAAATCAAAGTAGAAGACATGGTGCTTTTGTGCCATTTTGCACACACACCCTCTCTCAGTCGGGTGTTCAGTGTGGCTGGGGTCTGCAACAGGCCTGCTGCGAAACGGGAAGTCTCGGTTTGGAAAGCCGCGCTGAATCAGGTGTCAGTGGCGCCAGCCTGTTGACAAGTCTCTTCCCAGCCTGCACTTCTCCCATCGATCCTCCCGCCTGGGCCTTCATGGCCACAGCCAGGACAATGACTGCCCTCCACCCCCCAGCTCCATCATATTGATCCAAGCATCCACAGCAACAAGGACAGAGACGCTCCCTCACAGAAGAGCCAATTGTTTCTTTCTGGATCCAACCTTCCGACGGCATGAGGCTTCTCAGAAAAAGATACGCGTCTGTTTTGTCACATGCTCAGACCACCTGAAAATTATTTTCCCACAACGACGAACTGTAAAGCTCTGCTTACATAATTACGTTCGCCAACGCCATGCTCTGCAAATATTGACATCGTGTTCCAGCACTTTCTATTCACCGGCGCAATGCAAACACAGGGGAGCAGGAATCAAGTAAATCTACAAAGATCCCAGGCTAAAAATAAACCTGTGCTCCGCACAGTTCTTGAACGAGCACACTGGAGCTCATTAAACACTGCACACATGACTCCAGCTGTTGACAATTCCAAACGCTCCCTGCCCCCGGCGAGACTGGGACGAGTGAAGAGGCCCTGTGTTCGCGCGGACGGAAAGCTGGCGGAAAGAAGGACTTTTTCCTGGCGCTCCCCGGCTCCCTTCTGAAGTGGTTTTAAGAGACGTAATGACAGACCCGCGCAGGAGGGAAGCAGTCCGGAGCGAGCCCGGCGCTCAGATCCCGTCCCTCTGCAGGGGGGGGCTGAGGCCTGCTCCGGCTCGCTCCCCTCTGTCCTCGGGGCGAGCAGGAAGCTGCGCACACGCGGGCAAGCGTCTGCGAGAGAGCGGGAGCACGGCTTGGCATCAAGCACAGAGGAGTCCACCCTGGAGCGACGCTGCAGGACGGAGGACCTCCTGCACACAAGCTCATTACCTCAACCACTGGAGCGCTCCCCCTGCGACTGCACGCCAGCCTGCACACGGCGCCCTCTGACACCAGAGCGCTGGGCTGAGGCACGCAGGAGCCACGCGCAGCTGGGGGGCACCTTCTCACAAGGAAAGGAAACGATCTCTAAATGGGGCAGCAGGCTTGAGAGGAAATGACTGGGCTTCTAAGGGTTAATCATTTACTTCTTAAAAACCAGGGGCTGCTTGCACAAAACATCAACACCACCTGAGGATAAAGCACTGAAAGGAAAAACAAAGGGGAAACTTAGCTCCAGTGCTTTTGCAAGGAGCTGCAGGTCTTTCGTGAAGTGGACACAGCGCAGAGAAAAGAGAACCCGATGAGACAGAAAGCACCAGGGCACCTTTCGCGATGAGCGCAGTGTTGCGAACACGCACTGCGATCCGTCTCCATGGCAGCGCTGGGGCTGAAAGCCAGGACAGTCCTGGTCAATGGTGCCCACGCCCTTCAAGAGAACTTTTGTCCCCTTGTTCTTAATGGAAACGCTGTAACATGACCATGCATTCAGCTTTTTATCAAGGCCCGTTTCCCAGGGCTCTGTGCGGCTCTGTTTGCCGAGGGCGCAGCGGTGTCTGACACGAGAGGCAGTCAGCAGGGGGCTGGGCGGGGCCGCTGGGACAGTCCTACCTTTCTTGACTTTCTTCTGCAGCTTGATTGTGTCCGAAGACTTCTTTTTGATGTCCGCACGAGCCTTCTTATATTCTAGGGAAGAGCCAAGGAGAACAAGCATCAGAAGATGAAACAGGGCTCGGACACTGTTCGCTGTACGAAACGAGAGAGCAAGAAGCGGCGCAGCTCTGCAGCTGTGCTCACAGCCGGGAGGAGGTCCGCAAACACACCGCAGACAGACCTCCTTTCTCCTGTATGGCGCCTTTCAAAGTCCCCTGGGAAACAAGAAAAGGGTCCTTTGCAGCTGCCAGTTATGGCATGAAATGAATTTGGTTTCTCCCATCCGAACTGGGCACGAGGTCTGAGAGGAGCTGAAGGATGAAGGGACCTCAGTGTTTGAAACCTACAGTTCAGGGACACCCAGGGCTAGTCCAAACCCAGAGCCTACAAACAATAGACTGCTCTGCCCCAGCGCCCTACAGGCGGGGGTTGAGTGCCACAAGGTCTGTCCACAGCCTCAGACACTCTCTCTTTCTGCACCTGGGGAGGGAGACACGAGCTGGAGACGGTTACCTTTCGCGTGGTCCTTATCCAGCTGACTGGCCACCTTCTTCCACTCCTCGATCTTCAGCTCCAGGGGGTTTATCAGACTCTCCGTCAGGGCTCTGCAACAACAGTGCAGCCTCAGTGAGGGACACAGGGGCTGATGCATCAGCCAGCGCAGGACTTTGTCATTTCACTTGGTGAACAATCATGTCGAATACACACCTTTTCACCATAAACATCAGAAATAAGATCTCTAACACTGCCAGAGGTCAGTGCAATAGTATAATTTTATTCTTTTCAATATTTTGGGTTATTTCACATTTTTTGGAAGCTAAAGAAAATCGTGAATTTTATGAAGACTGGACCTGAAATGTACATTTTTTTATTGGTGTTCAATCACTCTCCATTGCTTTTATTCAAGGTAGACGACACATTAGAAAAGTCCTTGGAAGAAAAATGTACATCCTAGGTGTGCAAATTGAGATATTGCCTTTTGAAGAAAGACAATAAAATGCATGTTGTTTTCTCCTGTTTTTGTTCTGGATATTTCTTTCTAATATGTATACAGGGTAAGACATATAAAACATCTGAAGATTCAGACGGGCTGTACAAGAGGCCTGTGCTGTGTATAGTTTCCAGGATAATTAAAGATTATTAAAGAGTACACTGTCCCAGGACAGTGACCTTGAGTTTCATGTAGGGGCCAGGTTTATTTCAGCCTCTGGGCCACCCCTTAACGGTGGAGGGCCAAAAACTGATGACAAAGGCGACAGGGCTCAAGGAGATCAAGACCTTTCATTACTTATTTAAAAAGTTCAGAGCACGGCAAGTGGCTACAATAAAATAAACTGTCCAGAACTCTATCAAGCTGTTAATTCATTCTAATGACCCCTAAACAGGCTGCGCCAGACCCAGCGGTGCACAACATGCTGCCCCTGCGCCCCGACATGGGGCAGGCAGGGACCCCGGCGCTAATCCAGGCACGTCCCGAGCGTGGGGTCGCTGGCCAGCTGGAACATGGGGTGAGTGGTGGGGCGCTTGTGTCCCAGCCCTGGCTCGGACAGGGATTGGGGTGCACGGGAGGGTACCCCCCTCTTAAGGCACAGCCATCCACAGGGAACAACTGGCCGCTGGGTTTGTCAAGCCGATACACTCTACAGCAACACTCGAGCTATTCAGAAAGAATAAAAAGTGGGTGAACAAAGGGCCAGCTCTGAGCCGGGTCTCTGTGTGGAGGAGCGATGCAGAAAGATGAGCAGTACAGTGCACGCCTGACATCTTCCCATCAGCTCCAATTACTGCATCTGTTCAGAATCTGCTGAACACGCCCCCTTCCCACCCAGCAGGAACGCTAATGGATCGGGAGCCCCTTTGTGTAACCTGAGGAGGGGGGGGGGGGATCGGATTGCAGCCCAGCGATCCTCGCCTTACACTGGGAGCTCCCGCAGGCCCAGGAATTCTGCACACGGAGACACGCCCCGGAGAGCATCGCCCCCCTCCCCCCACGAGTGAGCTCATCTCCAGTGCTTCATCGCAGGTTCTTTCATCTCCCGAGCGCCTCTGCTCCCCACGAAATGGGCTGAGCAACTCTGCCATCCCAGAGAGAGGAGCACAGGCCTGGACTGGCAGCCTGAACCCTGAAACGCCTCCCCGGCAGGTCGCACTGGGGCAGGAGGCACGCGGGGATCGGCCCTGGAGGGCTGCAGTTAAACTGTCCCAGTTAAGACAGTGTTACTGCACCCTGCAGTCAGGGGCCGAGCTGAACCGACACCCCCGTCCCGCTACACGAACTCCCTCAGGACGAGGTGCTGGAACTCACGTCGTGAAGAGCTTGAGTTTGGATTCGATGCTCCGGTGCCTCATGCACATCCTCGTCAGAGCCGAGCCGATCTCTTTGGTTGCCCCTGAAACAAAAAAAAAAAGAGCAAAACACATCCGTTCATTTCCCAGCCTCTCCCAGAGCCCGCCACTGCTCCAGCGGGCCTGGAAGACGCAGGTGTCACCAGCAGGACCCCTTCTCGGGTGGCGTCCCTCCAGATGCACGGATATGTGAGAAACAGTGTAAAAGGACGAAGGAGCTGGGTCATCAGTGTGCAAGACAGATGCATAAGACACCTGTCTTCACTTTAAAAATAAAGTAAACTCTAACAATCAGCTGGTCACATTAAGCAGGTGAACAGCTGTGGGAATAACGGCGCGATGCACTCGAAGGACAAAGGTGTTAAACTAGAAGACAAAGTGCGGGCTGGGTTGAAAAACTCGGACGACTCGTGGGTCCCCCGCCAGGCGAGGTCTCGGCGGCCGCACGGAGGGGCGCGGGGCGAGGGGTGAGGGGCGCGTGCCCAGAGCCGCCCCCAGACTCCTGTGCAACGCAGCAGCAGCTGCGGCATCGGGGAAACAAAATCATCTCCTAAGAAAAAAAAAGAGAGCAAACATCTGCTGCTTCTTTTTTTTAGGCAAGGCCAGGCAATGAGAGATAACAGATGCAAATACCGACGGCCATAAATACAGGCGCCTGCCTGCAAGCACACAGGCCAGACGGGGAGAAATCCCTCTCTGAGCAAGCACAGCTCATTCAGGAGACGGCATCTGCTTCCAAACGTCCAGCAAACACAGAGGCTCTGATCTCTAAGCCTTTAGGAGCTCAATGACCCCGCAGGCTTGCCCGTATCCTGTGCTGACGAAGCACAGCGACTACAGTTGCACTTTGTGCTGTGTGCAATCCACCACCTCTCCTGCAACGCTCCAGTCTCCACCAGTGGACCAGGACTGTCGCTGACAGCACTGTGTATTCAGCCTGATCTGCACAGCAGGGAAGCACTGAGGAGCGCTGGGCTCACACAGCAACATGACTTCAAGAGCCAACCGCCCTGACATACACCCACAGTTTATATTTACTATCAGGTTGGTCCAGTACTCAAAAATCCAGCTCCTATTTGCACAGTGCAGCCGCCCCCGGGGGCATGTTTAGCAATGAGTACAGAGTGAAAGCAAACCAGATCAGGGTGGCTGAGTCGCAGGTCAAAGGTTAGCTTTGGACTGAAGGCAGGAATTCCCTCACACACTCACACACTGGGCCGGACAGTCTGTAACAGAGTAACGAACAGAACAGCCAGCCAGCCAGCCACACAGAGGGGCTCCCCGAGTGTGCTCTGGGGCCCACATGTGGGGACATCTCGGGCTCTGGGGACGCTCCGCTCTTCTGCGGGACGACTGTGCTGCCTCCTCCAGAACTGTGGGCATCCCACCCCTGCACCCTGCCTCCGCTCCGCACCCGCAGCCGGGCGGAGAGCCACTTCATTCCAGCTTATTATAATAATAATAATAATAATAATTGTTTACACTGACATAGCGCTTTTCTGGACACTCCACTCAAATCGCTTTACAGGTAATGGGGATCCCCTCCACCACCACCAGTGTGCAGCCCCACCTGGATGATGCGAAGGCAGCCATAGTGCGCCAGAACTCATTTTTAATGACAACAGAGAGTCAGGACCTCAGTTTTACGACTCACCCGAAGGACGGCACCTGTTGACAGTATAGTGTCCCTGTCACTATACTGGGGCATTAGGACCCACATGGACCGCAGGGTGAGCGCCCCCTGCTGGCCCTACTAACACCTCTTCAGAGCTTAGCTTGGGAGCAAACTTATTTGAACCCATAGGGGGAGAAGATGAGAAACTCCGGGTGTGACAGACCTCCCTTCCAGTGGGCTAAAGGGACTATATTTAAGAGAAGACTGCTGCCACTTGGGAGAAACCTTTTATTTCAAATTAGTTCTGTAATCAGCGGTTGGGCACTGGGGCCCCTGAGACACCGATTCACCCTCAGGATTAAAGCCCACATTCCAGCAATCAGGTGTCATGTGATTGCTCTGACAGAGCACTGGGGAAGTCATCCGCCAACCGTGTGAAAACAGCCTGGAGCAACAGTGACCCCTGACCCCTGACCCCTGACAAGGGCTGTAGAATCCCTGCATCTGCTTGCACAGTTTTCACCAAATTTTCTCCCAGGCCAAAGATGTTGGCCTCACTGGCAAGAGAGGAGGACATGAATTAAGGAAACAGACCTCAAGTTTATAAATGCACCAACCTATGCACACACAAATCTATATAGGCCCACCTTTCACAAACATGCATCTGTATATACAGTGTGGATCCTTTGCATACACATGTCAACAGTCGTCCAGAAGGAAGGTGCCTGAGCTCTGAAACGTCTGGAGGCTCTGCCGTCTGAGCACATGAGAGTAGATGTCTTCCTGCAGCACCTAACAGCCAGTTGCCCCTCCTCCCCAACGTCAGAGCTCAGCGGGGGAGGCTGACGGAGCAGCAGCAGGTCTCTGCTTGTCCCACAGGGGAGACTCTGCCCAACAGCAACAGAGAGGAGCCGCCTGAACCTGAACTGGCCAAAGGTCACTCCTTGCCGAGACCAGACAAATGCCACCTTAGGACAGTGCAGAGGAGAAAAAAAACATCACTTTCTTCTGAGCACGACTACCTAGGATGACCGCTCTGTTATAGGTTAATCGGACAAATAATGTAAAAGGCCCCTAAACTGATTTACTGTTACCCCGCTAAACTTCGCTTGGAGTGGAACGCGCTACCACATCCAACAGCTGAAGTAAACAGGCTGTAACCAGGACACCTCTTTCAAAACAGCCATTGGAAAGACCCCTCCCAGCTGCCCCCAGGCGCTATACAACACGCAGCTGCCATTCCTACAGGGCCTGGCTGCGGCATTCTCGCACATGCCAATCCCTTCTTCAGGCGAAGAGCAGGAAACACAACGGATTTATCCTCCCTCCGATCAAGAGGGTGGGACAACAGCTTTTGTGGGGAAGTCATAAAAGGTGAACTGGTCGTTCGAGGCCTCAGAGACAGATTTCAGCTGAGGAAAACCTAGCACGATGGTTTTTCTTGACACTTCTCGATAGCAGCTGTGCTCTGCCTGTGCTGAGCACCATTTGTCCGGTCTAAACATGCAGAGCAACAGGTCCAAACTGACAAAGTGACTGATGGGTAATGCGAGATGCCCTATCAACAGACAGGCAAGGCTCTGGGGAGACCACCAGTCTCACACATGCTTCTAAAAAATGATTTTATAGCACAACACAGGCCAGAGAGGGGCCACGTTCTCCACGCCACACGGTTAGAGTAGAGCAGAAGCAGGGTCAGGACGGGATCAGTCCATCGCTCTCTGCCTCTCTCCCAGCTGCTCGCCTCTGTCCAGGCAGCAGCCACCAGGGGAACAACCCGCACTCAAGGTGATCGCTGGCAGCACGGCTGGGGAGCGAGCTCTTCCCGTTGCCAGTGAGGTCATTTCCTTTTCGCTGCGTTCCCAGGCTTGTCCCAGAAGCATTTCCGTCCACACGTCCGCTCATTAATAAAGTTTCAGAACGAGCCTGCAGGCCCCCCTGCCTCCCCTGTCCCTGAACTACAGCCTTTAAAGGAGGAGCCGGGAGAATCCGGAGCGCTGTGATCCGTTCCGCACTTGGCACAGACCGCAGCACCCCTGGGGTTCCCTCGCTTGGCCGTCCTGCTACAGCTCTTCCCTGCAAACCCTCCAAAGCGAGAGGTCAAACATCTTCTTCACAGCCTCCCCAAACACGAGCCGGCTGGTTTTGAATCGAGCTCTAGCGGCCGTGCTGCACGAGGAGTTCTGGTCCAGCCCGGACCGGACCGGACCGGACCGGACCGGACCCCCCACTGAAAGGGGAGACTCTGGCAGCGGTGCCCCCGGCGGAAGGGAAGGGGAGGACCGCTCTGGGGCTGTCCAGCTCCGGGCACACACACACACACCTCCCCGCAGGGTCAGGGGGCGAGACAGCTGGACTCCAGCACAGGGGACACCCCTGCGGATCTCCGGCTGCTAGTCAGGGAGCTACTGGTCCCAACAGCTAGAACCCACTGAGACGCTGGGAGAGGAGTGTTTCCTGTTCCAGATATTTTCCTGGATAAATTTAGATCCTGAAACTCCTGGGTGGGGGGGATGGGGGACGGCAGGAGAAAGTGTACATTAGTTTCACTCCCCATTTCAAACACTTCGGGGCGAATGACCCCACTGGGCCCATGTGCCCGCGCAGCGGACATGTGGCCCACTCCGCTCCGAGAAGCTGGGCAAGGAACGGCGAGGATCCATCCCCGCTCCGCTCATCCCATTATCTCGGGATCCCGTCGGCACTCCGGAGACATCAGGGGATTCCTGTGAGCAGAACTGACAACCCACATGGCTCTAGACCATCCGTCAACAAGTCATCAGCCGCCTGAGCGAGGCTGCCTGTCTCGAGGCACAAGGCTCGTGTTTTAGGAAAGAACTCAATTTCCACAGATTCCATGATCTCAGTTTCCTACCTCACTGGAATCAGCCTTAAAGCAGCCCCCCCATCCTGCTGGACACAGGAACGAGAAGGAGTTACAGGGGGAGAGTGGGCTTACACATAGGAGCTGGAAAGTGAATTGCAGCTCGTTTAATTAACAAGACATTCCACCGGCGCAACAGAATAACGCACCTAACAGGTCAGGCCGCCGAGTCTGGAAGGGGAGAGAAAGGAAGAAAACATCCTGAATGAAGACGGACAGCCGCCCAGACAGCGCTGGCTCCGGTCCTGCCGGGTGTCTGCCTCGCTCTCTCGCGGGGCAGAACCCTGGGCAGTAAACTCTGGGGACTGTCCGGCCCTGGAAACTCCCCAGCCTCGACCGCAAGGCACGCTCCGCCGCCGTCTTTTACACAAACAAGGACAAGACCCTTTACAGAAGGACGCTTCAAGACGGAGGTCTCGTTGCCAAGAACAACAACAACACAGAGGGGAGCTTATTCAGTCTGCCCAGACAGAGAGGGTTCTCCAGCTCTGTGGGCGTGCGATGCATTTCATAAGAAGAGACTCTTGGTACTTCGCTACCCCGGG